TCCAGAGCCCATTCCGTGCCACCCATGCCACAGCAGGGACACCTTGCACTGTCCCAGGCTGCCCCAGTCCCTGTCCCCTGGCCTGGGACATTCTCAGGGACAGCCACAGCCTCTCTGAGCGAATCCTCTCATCCTGCTGGGATGGTGCCCGGGGACAGCTCTGGGACAGGGGACAGGGACAGTGCCCCCGTGCTGCTGCATCCTGAGCCCATCCCGCTGCCTCTGGGCATCTCCCTGCTCTGTTTTCCTCTCCTCGGAGGTGGGTGGCACTGCCACCCTGTCCCCTGCACTGCCACCTTGTCACCTGCACTGCCACCCCTGTCCCCTGCACTGCCACCCTACCCCTGACACTGCCACCCTGTCCCTGTCGCTGTCACCCCTGTCCCTGCACTGCCACCCCTATCCCCTGACACTGCCACTCTGTCCCTGACACTGCCACCCTGTCCCTGACACTGCCACCCTGCCCCTGGCACTGCAACTTTGTCACCTGCACTGCCACCCTCTCCCTGTCGCTGCCACCCTGTCCCTGCACTGCCACCCTGTCCTTGTCACTGCCACCCTGTCCTTGGCACTGCCACCCCTGTCCCTGCACTGCCACCCCTGTCCCTGGCACTGCCACCCCTGTCCCTATCGCTGTCACCCTGTCCCTGCGCCGCCACCCTGTCCCTGGCACTGCAACTTTGTCACCTGCACTGCCACCCTCTCCCTGTCGCTGCCACCCTGTCCTTGTCACTGCCGCCCTGTCCTTGGCACTGCCACCCCTGTCCCTGCCCTGCCACCCTGTCCCTGTCGCTGTCACCCTGTCCCTGTCACTGTCACCGTGTCCCTGGCACTGCCACCCTGTCCCTGGCACTGCAACTTTGTCACTTGCGCCGCCACCCTGTCCCTGCACTGCCACCCTGTCCTTGTCACTGCCACCCTGTCCCTGGCACTGCCACCCCTGTCCCTGGCACTGCAACTTTGTCACCTGCACTGCCACCCTGTCCCTGTCGCTGTCACCCTATCCCTGGCACTGCCACCCTGCCCCTGACGGGGCCGCTCCTGGGCGAGCGAGGCCGGAGCTCGCTGGGAAATGCGAAACGCGGCGGGGCTGGGATCAGCAGCCCGAAACCGCGGCCAGCAGCGAGCTTTGGGAAGAGCCTGGCAGAGTCTCGGGCCAGCTCGGGCTGGGTTTCAAGTGAGCCGAGTGTGACCTTTGCAGCATGGGCTGGAATTTTAACAGAGCCCGGGGAGTGAGTTTCAGGCGGAAAAAAAAAAAAAACGAAAAAACCCCCAAACCAAAAAAAGTTAAAGGGTTTGGGCAAAAGCGCCGTGGAGCCGGCGTGGTTTGGGGGTGATAATTGCTGCTCACCTGCCCCAAACCAGCAGAACCAGCCGGGTGGTTGCGGCTGGAGTTTCAGTGCAGGGTTAACCCTTTCTGAGGTTAACCCTTTCCTCCTCCTCGCCTTCCCTGGGCTGGATCCCAGCTGCTGCTGCTGCTCCCAGGGTGGTCTCCTGGCCGTGGGCAGGGTCAGGGGTGTACGTGAGCAGCTCAGCGTTCCCCAAATCCAGCTCAGCATTCCCCAATTGCAGCTCAGCATTCCCCAATTGCAGCTCAGCATTCCCCAGTCCCCCTGAGCAGCTCAGTGTTCCCCAAATCCAGCTCAGCATTCCCCAATTGCAGCTCAGCATTCCCCAATTGCAGCTCAGCATTCCCCAGTCCCCCTGAGCAGCTCAGTGTTCCCCAAATCCAGCTCAGCGTTCCCCAATTGCAGCTCAGTGTTCCCCAAATCCAGCTCAGCGTTCCCCAGTTGCAGCTCAGTGTTCCCCAATTGCAGCTCAGCATTCCCCAGTCCCCCTGAGCTCTCCCTCGCACAGGTTGGACCCCTCAGGAATTTATGGAAAGGAAGGAACGGATCAGATCAGGGGCAGGTCACTGCTGTCACTGCCTGAGGCTCAGGGAGCATCCAGCTAAAACTGCAGGAGGAATGAGAAAATAATCACAAATAAACCTCTCTGTCCCAGGCAAGCAGCAAGGGCCGAGGTTGTCTTGCTCCTTGAGCTGTGGGCAGATTTCTTTTTCCATTCTGCTTTATTATTATTTTTTTTCCCCCCACTGCTTTTCCTGCAATCTCTGCCTCCCTGCCCTGCTGCACAGCATGTGATGGGTGTAGATCAGGGCAGGGAGGATGTTCCTAATCAAACCCACGTTTCTCTGCATTGTCTGCGCTGTCTCACGGGGAGTTCAGCCAAGCCCCCACACTCGTCATGTTCCAGTGCTGGTTTGAAAAGCTGCACAAAGGGAGAATTCTCCCAGATGGAGTTTCTTGGGTAGGAAGGGAATTATTCCATATTGGGAACATTCCAGTTATTCCATATTGAAAATATTCCAATTATTCCATATTGAGAATATTCCAATTTTTCCACATTGGAAATATTCCAATTATTCCATTCCTGAGAGCTCCCTTCCCAGACACTGAGCTTCCTTTGCAGTGGGAGTGGTGAGTGCTGAGCCTGGAGCTGTCTCTGTCCCAAAGGAAGTGCCCCCCACGGCATTCCCAGTTTTCCTGCCCTTTCCAAGCCCATTCCTGGCTGTGTCTCCCACGCCGTGTCCCTCCAGGCACAGGGGGGTCACATCTGCTGCTTTATTTCGGGCCCTTCTCTCATGACAAGTTGACATTGGTTATTTATATCGTGCCCTTAATCCCACAGCGTCCATCCTGGAGGTGCTGGGTGCCATCCGCAGGATGGGGCTGGAGCAGCCCTGCAGCATCCCAGGAACATCATCCCAGAATCATCCCAGCAGCATCCCAGAACCATCCCAGCACTATCCCAGGATCATCCCAGAATCATCCCAGAATCATCCCAGCAGCCTCAGTATCCCAGGATCATCCCAGAATCATCCCAGAATCATCCCAGCAGCATCCCAGTATCTCAGAATCATCCCAGGATCATTCCAGAATCATCCTGGAATCATCCCAGCATTCCAGAATCATCCCAGCAGCCTCCCAGAATTATCCCAGCACCATCCCAGAATCCTGGTACTGTTCCACCATCCCAGCACCATCCCATCATCCCAGACCATCCCAGACCATCCCAGACCATCCCAGCACCATCCCAGATCATCCCAGCACCATCCCAGCATCCCAGATCATTCCAGCACCATCCCAGATCATCCCAGATCATTCCAGATCATTCCAGCACCATCCCAGCATCCCAGATCATCCCAGCACCATCCCAGACCATCCCAGCCCATCCCAGACCATCCCAGCATCCCTGTTCCTCTGGCTGCCGCCGTCCCTGCCCCTCCCTCGCTCCCTGCTGCTCCGCAGCCGGGTTAAACCTTTCCGTGCCTCAGGCCCGGCTCCAAGGGAAGGAAGTGGGCCGAGCCAAGCCAAGGAAACCGCTCGGTTTCCCCTCTGGCCTGCGAGGCGTGCGAGGGGAGCGCGGCGTGGGCGGATCAGCAGCGGGAGCGGCGGGGGAGCAGCTCTTCCCCTGCAGATGTTCCTGGCTGAGGGGAGAAGCGTGTCCCGGGAATGTTCCCCGGGCTGGGCTCTGCTGGTCCCTCCCTGTGCAGTGCGGGACAGCGGCCACCGCGGGGAGCTTCCGTCCCGCGGGATGGCAGGAGGGGACAGGGGACCCTGCTGTCCCCTCCTGTGGGGACACAGCCCGGAGCTGGGCCTCGGGGCAGAGCTCGTGGGATCCCCGAGGGGTGCAGAGCTCGTGGGACCCCCGAGGGGTGCAGAGCTCCTGGGACCCCCGAGGGGTGCAGAGCTCGTGGGACCCCCGAGGGGTGCAGAGCGTGTGGGACCCCCAAGGGGTGCAGAGCTCGTGGGACCCCCGAGGGGTGCAGAGTTTGTGGGATCTCCAAGGGGTACAAAGCTTGTGGGACCCCCAAGGGGTGCAGAGCTCGTGGGACCCCCGAGGGGTGCAGAGTTTGTGGGATCTCCGAGGGGTACAAAGCTTGTGGGACCCCCAAGGGGTGCAGAGCATGTGAGACCCCCGAGGGGTCGCAGAGCGTGTGGGACCCCCGAGGGGACGCAGAGATTGTGGGACCCCCGAGGGGTGCAGAGCTCGTGGGACCCCCGAGGGGACGCAGAGCTTGTGGGACCCCCGAGGGGTGCAGAGCTTGTGGGACCCCCGAGAGGTGCAGAGCTCGTGGGACCCCCGAGGGGTGCAGAGGTTTTGGGACCCCCCAAGGGGTGCAGAGGTTTTGGGACCCCCGAGAGGTGCAGAGCCCAGGGGTCCCTCTTGGCTCCCCCAGCGTGCCCAGCCCTGGTCCCAGCTGTGTCCAGCTGTGGTGTCTTGGTGGCCGAGGGGGGGCTGGGGCTGGGGGCTGGGGGCTGGGGCTCGCTCCCCCAGCCCCTCTCCCGCAGGCAGCTCCTTCAGGGCAGCTATTCCTGGCCCTGCCACGGGGAGGGGGAGGAAGGTGGGAGGAAGGCTCGGGGCTCGTGGGAGCTGAGGGTTATTTCTGGCTCGGCTTCGTGACCTGCCAGCTCACCCTTGGGCACTCTGTCAGTGCCCCGTGCCAGGCTCCCCCCGGGCTGTGCCCGCGGCTGCCCACAGCACATGGCCCAGGTGGCCCTGGGTGCCGTGGGACGGCTGCCACACGCCCTGCGAGGTTTGTCACAAGACTTTCGGGGCTGGCTGTGATCTCCTGATGCCAACCCTGCAGCAGGCTGGCAGTAAATGCCCTGGGAGTGCCCTAAATAGGTGAACCCTGCCCCTGAGGTGATTTTGTGTCACCCTGGAGAGCGTGACTAAAGCGAAGAAGTGGCTCTGTGGGAAAAAGGACGGTCACTGCCACCCAGGTGTGCCACAGGCTGGGAGCTCCGTGGCCTGTCCCCCTTCCCATGGAGTGACCCCGGCAGGGAGCAGGGGGCACCAGGAGTGGTCCCGGTGCCCCCAGACGTGGCTGTGGGCACAGTCACACATTGGCTGCCACCCTGCCATGTCCCCCAGCAGTTCTATATATGGCCCTGCCCTCTCTGGGCTGGTGGCACTGGGATCTCAAGTGACACCGGGGAGGGAGGGGGGGGGTTTATTTTTAGCCCCTGAATGGATCAGAGCTGGAGCCGGGCTCTCTGCCCCCGGCCGGGCCACGGCATCATGTTGTGCTGGGAGGGCTCTCCTGCCAGGCTGCTCGCATGGCTCCGTCCCCGCCGGGGGCTGGGGGACAGGTAGGACGGCCTTTGTCACCTCCCCGCGTGTCCTGCTGTCCCGCTGTGCGGCACCTCCCTGCGCAGGGCCCCGGGCAAGGGCGGGGCCGTGCCGGGATGTGCGGGGCTGTGCCGGGATGTGCGGGGCCGTGCGGGGCCGTGCCGGGATGTGCGGGGCCGTGCCGGGATGTGCGGGGCCGTGCCGGGATGTGCGGGGCCGTGCCGGGATGTGCGGGGCCGTGCCGGGATGTGCGGGGCCGTGCCGGGATGTGCGGGGCCGTGCCGGGATGTGCGGGGCCGTGCCGGGATGTGCGGGGCCGTGCCGGGATGTGCGGGGCCGTGCCGGGATGTGCGGGGCCGTGCCGGGATGTGCGGGGCCGTGCCGGGATGTGCCGGGCCGTGCGGGGCCGTGCGGGGCTGCCCCGGCTGCTCTGGGATTCGGGAACGCTTCTCGGGAAGAGCAGTCCCGGCTTTAAGGTGGATTGGAGGCAAAATGGGGGGGAAAGGGGGAGGTGTGGGGTGTGATGCTGTGGGGAGAGAATCCCAAACCCCTCTGCAGCTGTGGGGAACATCCCAAACCCCTGTGCAGCTGTGGGGAGCATCCCCAAGGCCCTCTGCAGGTGTGGGGAGCATCCCAAAGCTTCTGTGTCGCCATGTGGAGCATCCCCAAGCCCCTGTGCAGCTGTGGGGAGCATCCCAAAACCCCTGTGCAGGTGTGGGGAGCATCCCCAAGGCCCTCTGCAGGTGTGGGGAGCATCCCAAAGCTTCTGTGTTGCCATGTGAAGCATCCCCAAGTCCCTGTGCAGGTGTGGGGAGCATCCCAAAGCTTCTGTGTTGCCACCGGGAGCACCCCAAAGCCCCGGTGCAGCCGTGCTGGGGAGCAGAGGCAGTGGGGACAGGAGGGGGTGGCAGTGGCCTCCTCTCCCACTGCTGGCTGGCTTGTGGCCAGCACGGCCATCCCCATCCTGCTGAGGTTGCCAGGGGCCGGAATTTCCAGCTGGGTTTGGGCTGGAAACGGCTGAGGATGAGCGGATGGGAGGGAGGGACTGGGAGGAAGGCTCGGGGGCACACAGCTGGCCTCCGTGCGCCCGGAGCGGTGCCACCCCCTCCTCCCTGACCTGTCGCCGCTCCCCCGCTGCAGGCATGGATAACTTCGAGTACAGCATCCAGCTGAACGACCGGGAATGGGCTGAGTTCTTCCAGGCTTCCGAGGAGTGCAGCCTGGCGCCGGCCTCGCTGGCCACGGCCGAGGAGCAGTGCCTCAGTGACATTGAGCAAGGGGACACCTCGGGACGGGACTGTCCCCGCGGCACCGACGGGGTGGCAGCAGCCGGGCCGGGCAGCGAGCCAGCAGCGCCTGGCACGGCCAGCCCTGTGCCACGTGGGGTGCCCGGTGACACCGCCCTGCGCCGCCCGGAGCGTGGGCACCTCTCCGGGCCGGAGCTGCTGTCGGGCAGCGAGGACGAAGCGGAGCCGCGCTCCGTGGGCAGGTTCCTGTGCGACAGCGACAAGCCCAGCTGCCTGGCACCCGCTGCCATGCCCAGCGCCCAGAGGAGGCAGCCACCGAGGCCACCCGCGGGCACCCCGGCCGGTGGCACAGCCCAGGGTGGCTCCGGGCAGGACACGGCGGTGGCAGCGGCCGGAGGCAGCCCCGCCATGGAGCAGGGCGGGGATGCAGGAGGGGGACAAGCCCTGCTGGCACAGCCGGGAGCGGTGGCACCGCCAGAAGCTCCGGCAGCCTCTGCTTCGGCCGAGGGACCGGCCGAGAAAAGCGCTGTCCCCTCGGAGCCCGGGCTGCGGGGACACGCGGGGGACACCCCGAGCCCGTCCCTGGGGATGGGAGCCAGGGTGGCAGCGGAGGAGGAGAAGGCGGGCACGGAGCCGAGCTCGCCGGGCGGATCCCCCAGCGTGGTGAGGCCCAAGGTGCCGGCACAGCCGAAGAAGAGCCGCAAGCAGCGCGGAGCCAGCGGCACCGAGGGGGACAGGGACCCTGCGGCGGCACCGGGCGCCACCGGGGCCGGCAAGGCACCGCCCGGCTCCCCGATGTCCCCTCGGAAGGGCAGAGGGAAGGACAAGGCGGCCAAGGGAGCGCTGGTGAGGCTGGGCAGCGAGGAGGCTGCGGAGAACAAGCGGGCGGTGCCCGGCCCTGGCGCGGATGGCGGCGATGCCCAGAGTGCTCCCCCGAAGTCCCCGGGGAAGACAAAAGCCACCAAGCCCCCAAAGGCAGGGCAGGCCGGTGGCTTGGGCGTACGTGACAGTGTCCCCGTGGTCCCTGGCGAGGGCACCGCGCCTCCTCCAGGAGAGGAGAGCCAGGAGATGCCAGGGAAGCCTCTCCAGCCCGGGAGCGCGGCAGCGTTTGGAGGGAATGCTGCTGAGGGGGCTGGGGGGGAGCCTGCTGCTGCTGAAATTCCCAGGAAACCCTCGGAGATCCCTGCAGTTCCTGCTGCTGAGATCCCTGGAATTCCTGCAGCTGAGATCCCCAGGAAGTCTGCAGCTGAGATTCCCAGGAAACCCTCGGAGATCCCTGCAGTTCCTGCTGCTGAGATCCCTGGAATTCCTGCAGCTGAGATCCCCAGGAAGTCTGCAGCTGAGATTCCCAGGAAACCCTCGGAGATCCCTGCAGTTCCTGCTGCTGAGATCCCTGGAATTCCTGCAGCTGAGATCCCCAGGAAGTCTGCAGCTGAGATTCCCAGGAAACCCTCAGAGATCCCTGAGGTTCCTGCAGCTGGGATCCCTTGGGAGCCTGCAGCTGTGATTCCCAGGAAACCTGTACCTGAAATCCCTTGGGAGCCTGCAGCTGGGATCCCCAGGAGTCCTGCAGTGGGGATCCCCTGGGAGCCTGCAGCTGAGATCCCCAGGATTCCTGCAGCTGAGATCCCCAGGATTCCTGCAGCTGAGATCCCCAGGATTCCTGCAGCAGGGATCCCCAGGATTCCTGCCATCGAGATCCCCAGGAGTCCTGCCATTGAGATCCCCAGGATCCCTGCAGCTGAGCTCCCCAGGATCCCTGCCATTGAGATCCCGTGCGAGCCTGCAGCTGGGATCCCCACGATTCCCGGGGCTGGGATCCCTTGGGAAGCTGCAGCTGAGCTCCCCAGGGCCGTCAGCCCCCTGTGCTTTGCTGACGGGGCCTCTGGCAAGCCCAGCTCCCTGGATGTGACCTGGCCCGAGATGTACGAGTACCTGTTCTGTGATTCCCAGGAGGAGGAGGAGCTGGGCAGCTCCCTGGAGGGGCGCAGATCGCCCTTGCAGGGGGAAATCTCCTGGCCTGAACTGTACGAGTATTTTTTCATCGAGCCAGAAGGAAGCAGGAAAAAAGGCAAAGCTAAAGACAGGAAAAGAAAGAAGTTCAGAGGTTTGGACCGCCCTGGGCTGCACAAGGAGGCTCCCAGCTCTGCTCCAGACAAGGACACCGTGGTTATCTCAGTCCCTGATGTGTATGAACACTTCTTCCCAGAGCCAGCCCCCAACAGGATGGGCTGGAGAGGGATTTTCTCCATGGCTCCGGCCTCCGAGGTGAAGAAAGCTGTGGGGGCTTTGAGGTCCCTGCTGCAGAGGCAGGGGCAGCTGCGAGGAGGCCAAGCCTCAACCTCCCAGGCCCTGGTGCCCCGAAGATCCGGGGAGGAGCTCGCCCTGGTCCCGCTGGGAGGAGCCCAGGTGTGGCCAGAAGATGCAGACGAGGCCCTGGCACTGAGAGGTAAATCCTGTTGTCACCTGTAGGGACATGTCCAGGCTGTGTCACCCTGGCTCTCCCCTGGGATGCTCCCTCTGTCCCCCCGGGCTCTCCCTTGGGATGTTCCTCTCTCTGTGCTGAGCCGGTGCTCCTGGCCAGGTCCCCTGGTGTGGGCAGGGAATGTGGGACTGTAAAACCCACCCTGAGCAGAAAAACACCCTCTGGAGACCTCAGAGGTCACCTGAACATTGCCTCTTCCTGGGGGCAGGTGGGAGAAATGGAAATAAAGGGGAGGTTTGATCCACCAGGACGGGCAGGGGTTTGTCTTTGAGCTTAAATGATGCTCAGAGTTAATAATAAACCCAAACACTGAGGGAGCCATCCCAAAGGGAGCCTCAACATGGAGCTTCCAGCCTGTTTGCACAGAGAGAAAAAACCCCTTTGAGGTGGTCACAGCTAATTAGTAAGCCAGCTTTAATTAAAAGCCTGATCAAATGAATAGGAGCAAAAAGAACGTGATCTCAAGCTGTTCCAGGCTGGATCAGGGAGTGCAGAGCACTCAGGGATGTCTTCATCCCTGGGGGAGGCAGGAGTGGGGTGGGATGCCCGGAGGGATGCTGAGCACTCTCAGATGTTGTCCTAGAGCTGGCTGTGCCTGGGGACACTGGGGACAGGAAGGGGACCTTGCCTGTGTCCCCAGGAATTGCTGTGTCCCAAATCTGCCCCCCAGACCCACGTGCAGCCACCAGAGAACTGCAGGGAGGCGGTGAGGCAGCCTGGGGTGCCTTTAACAAACATTTCCGTGGCGTTTTTAACAAAGTGCAGGACTGAGGGGGGGGTGACAAACGTGCCACTGTCCTTTGGGAACACGCAGAGCCACCTGCCATCCCCCCCGGGGGATGATTCAGGGATGATTCCCCGGGGGATTCGCTGTCGCAGAGGGAGGGGAGGAGTGGCAGAGGGGGTGGCACAGAGCCCCCAGACCTCGTGCTCCTCTCGTGGCAGGAGCAGCAGAGGAGCCCCGGGTGCTGAGCCACAAGGACATGTGCCTCGTCTTCTGCGCCTTCGCCTCCTGGGCCGTCAAGACATCTGACCTGCAGGCTCCGGATGCCTGGAAGACCAGTACGTACAGTGCCCGCCTGGAGAGGGGTGGGAAGGGCTCTGGGGGACACTTGGCAGGGAGGAAAAGCGGGATATTTCCACCTGCTGCTGCCTGCGGGGAAGCGCAGCCTTTTCCAAAGCCGTTTCCGTGTCTTTTCTCTCCTCTGGTCCCGATTGCTGCTCGTGACTTTTGTGCTTTGCCTACAAAGCAGCTGCTGGCTGGAGCTGAGCTGTTTCCACAGCCTTGGTCCTGCTCCATCCAGCCCCTGACGGGGCTCAGTTTGTCAGGACTTCCTTAGGACCTGCAGTGAGCAGGTTTAGGTTCCCTCATCCCAGCAGGAACGAAATTCCCAACACAACTGGCCTCACAGCAAGGCCAAACCCTGCCTGGGATTTTTTGTCCACCTTCATCCAGCACCAAAATTCCCGTGTTTTTCTGAGGTGCTTGGAAGGTTTAATCTCCCCAAAGAGGAGGCATCATCCTCTTTGTCCTGCAGTTCCCTGGAGATCTGTGGGATCCTCTCCAACCCCAGCACCTGGAAGCTGGTGGGGAGAGAGGAAGCTGAGCGAACAGAAATTCACAGAAATTGAATCCACAGAAACTTCTCACGGAATTCTGTAAGAAATCCACAGAATCCCACAGGAGTGGGCATGGCTGGATGAGCAAGACTCAGGGAGAGCAGCATTCCCCATCCCTGCCCTGGAACCCTTGGAGAACCCTTCCAGAGCAGCATTCCTCACTGCTGCCCTGCAGAGCCCCTTCCCTGGGAAGAAATGCCAGGAGCAAGGCTTCCTGCTGCTCTTCCAGGCGAGGAATGTTCCCTGCTAAGGTCACCAGGAAGCTGACACCGCGGGCTGGGAATAGCTCCTGAGCTAAGGCTGCTCTCTGCCGTCAGCACCAGCAGCTCTTGGCCTGCTCCCCCTCCTGCTGGGAGTTTGGGATGGAGGAGATGGCCCTGGGAAAGGTGTGGAAAGGGAGGAGATGGCCCTGGGAAAGGTGTGGAAAGGGAGGAGATGGCCCTGGGAAAGGTGTGGAAAGGGGGAGACGCTCCTCGTGCCCTGGGGTGGAATAGGCTGGAGAGGAGGGAGGCAGGAAGGAGCAGCAGTTCTCTCTGGGCATTTGGGCTTCTAACAAGCTGAGTTTGTATTCCTCTAGCACATAAATCAAAATCCAGTCTGAATTTAAAGTGTGGCGCCCAAAAACACGGCTTGGATTCCTGGTTTTGCTTGGTGTGGAAAGGGGGAGACAGGGTGGAATAACCTGGAGAGGAGCGAGGCAGGAAGGAGCAGCTGTTTTCTCTGGGCATTTGGGCTTCTGAAAAGCTGAGTTTATATTCCTCTAGCACATAAAATTCAGTCGGAATTTAAAGTGTGGGGCCCAAAACCATGGCTTGGATCCCTGGTTTTGCTTGGTGTGGAAAGGGGGAGATGGTGGAATAACCTGGAGAGGAGCAAGGCAGGAAGGAGCAGCCGTTTTCTCTGGGCATTTGGGCTTCTGAAAAGCTGAGTTTATATTCCTCTAGCACATAAAATTCAGTCGGAATTTAAAGTGTGGGGCCCAAAACCATGGCTTGGATTCCTGGTTTTGCTTGGTGTGGAAAGGGGGAGATGCTCCTTGTGCCCTGAGGTGGAATAACCTGGAGAGGAGGGAGGCAGGAGCAGCTCCTCACCCAGAGCATCTGCTCTCTCTGGGCATTTGTGCTTCTAACAAGCTGAGTTTGTATTCCTCTAGCACATAAAACAAAATCCAGTCTGAATTTAAATTGTGGGGTCCAAAAACACGGCTTGGATTCCTGGTTTTGCTTGGGAATCAAGGGAACTTTGTGTCCCTTGTAAACCAAATCAAAACTATTGGGTGCAGGGACGGAGCAGAGCTTGGTTTGTGTTTCACCCCCATTAGTTATTTCTTGTGTCCCTACATTTTTTGATTCAGGGTTTTGGATATTTTCTGCTTTTGGCTGGGGCTAGAAAATCCCCCAGAAAAATCCCCAAAATGAGATTTTTTCCTGGCGTCCTCCTGGTGCAAACAGAAGCAGGAAATGAAGGTGCTGCCCTGAAGCCCTGGTGGGCTTTTCCTCGTGTTTCTTTCTCATCCAAGATCAAATCTCCACCTGAAGCTGTGGCTCCAGCCAATCCATGAAATCCCCACCTGGATCTGGGTATCCACCCCATCCATTAAATGGGTATCCACCCCATCCATTAAAGGGTATCCACCCCATCCATTAAATCTCCCTGTGGATCTCTGCATCCAACCCCTGCCCACCACCGAGGGAGCGTGTTGGGCATTCCCCTCAAACCAGCTCTTTTTATGGGATGCTGGTGTCTCCACACAGCCAAACCCCAGGACTGGACGTGGCCAGTCAGGCTGTGGGCAGTTGGGAACGCTCTGGGAGCAAATCCCGAGTGCTGGGAATGCGAACCAAAGGCAGGAGGGGACGAGGAGGGAAGGGAGAGGAGTGACCCCCGCGGGGCAGTCCGGCTTGGGAGGAGCGCCGGGAGTCACACTGGGAATGTCTTGGGCTCTTTTCCAGTGTTCCTGGCAAGCTTTGGCACCCTCTCGGCCATCCGCTACTTCCGAAGGCAGGTCAGGGAAGGGCACCCCCGGACTTAACCCCTGCCACGCCGGAGCCGCTGCCCGGGGCCGGGACTTTGTTCTGGACAGTGGGAGAAGCCTGGAGGCAGCACCGAGAGCTTCCCCGGCCCCATCCCGGACGGGACAGGGTGGCACAGGGAGCGGGAGCCTCCCGGGGACGGGAACTGACGGTAGGGCAGGACAGGGGCTGGCAGTGCCCGCCGGCTGCTGCGCTGGAGTCACCTGGTGGCACCGAGGAAGCAGGGAGGTGCTTCATCCCGACAAAAGAGCCGGGATATCTGTGAAGGAGCAAAAGAGAGCTTTGGGAAGAGCCTGGCCGGGGCTGGGCTGGGCAGCAGCTCCGGGGGATGCAGGGGTCGCTGCCTTGGATCCCGTGAACGATTTGAGCACTCCAGCAGGGCTCATCCTCTTGGATTTCACTCCGGGAGGGCTCATCCTCTTGGATTTCCCTCCAGCAGGGCTCATCCTCTTGGATTTCACTCCACAAGTCCCAGCTCGGGGATAAGGTTTCTGCCGCACGTGGATGGGTCCGTCCCTGGGGACAGCGGGGCAGGGACATGTCCCCGTCCCCAGGAGAGGACGGGCAGGGGTCACACGGGGCAAGGGGCAGCCGGGGAGGGTCCTGCGGGGCTGCACAGGCTGGGAAGGGCAGCAGGGAAAGGGGCTGAGCTCAGGGAGGTCTCAGGAAAGGGGACAGGAGGATGTTGGAGAGGAGGGAGGAGGAGGTGGGCAGGTTTGGCCGTGCCAGTCAGCAGGGAAATGTTGGATTGGGTATTTGATTCATTTCCTTTTGTGCCTCCCGTCCTGGAGAGGCAGAGCTGGCTGGGGGAGACGTGGGGTGAGGGTGGAAGCTGTGGGATGGGGAGTGGGATGGGAAGTGGAAAATGAAATGGTTCGGTTCCCCCTCTCCCCAGTGCCTCCCTCAGCACCCCAGGCCATTATTCAGGAGGAATTTCCTCCCCTCACCAGCCAGATTGAGATCCACGGGGGCTCTGCCCTGTGTTTGTGAGGTGCCAGCAGAGAGAGGGGGGTTCTTTCCTTGTGCTGAGAGTGCCACGAGGATTTCAGGGGTGCAGAGGTGGCTGTGGGTTATCGCTGAGAGGAGGGCACGGGGGGATCTGGGACTGGGAGCTGGGGCTGGACAGGCTCTGCACGGCCTCAACACCCACGGAGAGGGCTTCTGTGGAGGAGGAGAGCAGACGGAATGTGCTGGAAGCTTCTAATAAAGCTCTGTCTCATTTACTACTTCTGTGTCCATCCCTGTGTCTGTGGGGAGCCGTTGAGGGAGCCCTGGGCTTTGCAGGAGGAGAAATCAACGTGTGGGGGTGTGTGGAGCCAGAGCTGCAGAGCTGATGGGTTTGGGGCCCTGGGCACAGAGCAGGCAGGGGCTCGGGGCAGTGTCCCCTGTGACCCTGGTCCTGTCCCTCTGAGGGGCTGTGTCCCCCGTGTCCCCTGTGTCGCCAGTGTCCCTGTCCCTCGGAGGGGCTGTGTCCACTGTGTCCCCTGTGTCCCCAGTGTCCCTGTCCCTCTGAGGCACAGCCTGGCAGCTCAGCAGCAGGCACAGCCAGCAGCGCAGCCTCCATCCCTCCCTGCATCCCTGTGCCCCTCTGCAGCCAGGAGCTCCCAGAGCTGCATCCTCAGCTGGGCTGCAATGGCCTAACCATCCTCACTGGGTTTAACCCTGGCCCAAGTGATTTGTGGCTGTCCCAGGGACTGAGGATTTCACTGAACCTGGGAGGGTTCCTGGCCAAACCCCTTCACTGAGGACGCTTCTGCTGCAGGGACAGAGCAGGGCTGTGTGCTGGGGGCTGCTGGATCTGTCCCAGGCCATCCCCTGGCCTTGGGGACCTGCCCTGCTCCTTGGGAGAGACCCTCAGCGTGGGGACAGTGACTCCTGGCTGTCCCTGAGCTGCACCAGGCTCGGTGCCCCCGAATTTTCCCCCTCCAGAGGGGGAATATCCCACTGTCTCCATGCCTGTACCCCAGAGCTGCTCCCAGCAGAGCCGAGAGCCCTGGGGGTGACAAGAAGTGCCTGTCACCCTTTGCTGGCTGTGATATTTGCTGTGTGACCCTTCAGACAGCAAAGGGAGGTGCCAGCAGGGCTTGGCAGCCTGAGAGGTGCCCCGCACACTGCTCTGATCCGCCCTGGAAGCGCAGGATGTGATGAATATTTCAGGAGCTGGAGGCTCTCAGCTGGCTGCGGGAGTGAAAGGAATTACTGAAAGGTCCTGCTGGTCTCGGGGGATCTGGGATTCTCTGCCACGCTCCGCCAGGGAGCAGAGCAGCCTGAAATTTTAATGCTTGGTTTATTCCCTGACCTTTCCAGCTCTCTCCTCTGCCTCACTGCAAGGCCGAGCACGCCTGGCATTTCTGCCCACGGCCGGAATGGAGATTAAACCTCGCAAATTCAACACAGCCAAGGATTTCTCCCGGATAAAATCTGCTAGGACCGAGGCACCGAGGCACCGAGGCACCGGCACAGCCCCAGCGACCTTTGGGAGCATCCTGCGTGCCCCGAGGCTGCTGTCCAGCCGTGCCACCCCTCGCTGCCCTCGTCCCCGCACGTCGCTCCCTCATCTGACACCTCGGCAGTGCCAGGCACATGAAAAAGTCAGGCAGGTGCAGCCCGAGGAGCAGCCCCGTATTTCATCCCGCCCGGACAGCCAGGGATGCCTCCCCCCCTTCTCCCGGGAAAGGCTTTGGCCGCAGAAGTCCTTCCCTCTGAATTTTCCTTTACTCTGATTTTTCTTCCCTCTGGATTTTCCTTCACTCTGATTTTTCTTCCCTCTGAATTTTCCCTCACTCTGATTTTTCATTCACTCTGATTTTTCCTTCACTCTGATTTTTCATTCATTGTGATTTTTCATTCACTCGGATTTTTCCTTTCCTCTGATTTTTCCTTCACTCTGATTTTTCTTTGACTCTGATTTTTCCTTCACTCTGAATTTTCCTTCCCTCAGATTTTTCTTTAACTCTGATTTTTTTTCCTTCCCTCTGATTTTCCCGTCTCTCTGATTTTTCTTTAACTCTGATTTTTCCTTCACTCTGAATTTTCCTTCCCTTGGATTTTTTCCTTCCCTTGGAATTTTTCATTCACTCTGAATTTTCCTTCCCTCAGATTTTTCTTTAACTCTGATTTTTTTCCCCTTTCCTCTGATTTTTTCTTCCCTCTGATTTTCCCGTCCCTCTGATTTTTCTTTAACTCTGATTTTTCCTTCCCTCTGATTTTTTCCTTCGCTCGGAATTTTTCATTCACTCTGAATTTTCCTTCCCTCGGATTTTTCTTTAACTCTGTTTTGTTTTTCCTTTCCTCTGATTTTCCTTCCCTCTGATTTTTTCCTTCCCTCGGAATTTTTCATTCACTCTGATTTTTCTTTAACTCTGATTTTTCCTTCCCTCTGATTTTTCTTTCCCTCGGAATTTTCCTTCACTCTGATTTTTCCTTCCCTTGGAATTATTCATTCATGGCACAGCTTCCCGTGGGCATCCCTGCGCAATTTCCTTCTCCCTGCGCAGGGGTTTTGGGGGCTGCAGCTGTGCAGAGCAGAGGGAGCAGTGCCAGAAGCTGCACTTGCTCCGGCCCTCGCATGTTTTGGTGCATTCTCCCACCCGCAGGGCACTCGGGGAGTTGCTCAGCAGAGCCCGGAGCGGATCCCGAACCCCCCCGGGAAGGGAGGGGCGGCTCCTTCCCAACCTTCGGCTGTCAAATATCCTCGCAAAGACAATAAAATCACAGCAACAGCCTGATTTTTTTTTGCTACACCCTGCGTTGTGTCGCAGAGAATTTATCCCAGCTCCCAAAGCCAAGGAGCAGGTTACAAACTTCACTTTCTAATGATTTTTTTCCCCCCTAAATTTTGCTGTTTATTCTTTAAGGGGTGGAAAAAAATGGGGTTTTTTGTGGCTTCAAAATCAGAGGGCAGGGAGAGACCCAAGATTCCTGCTGCAGCCTGGGGAAGGATGGGCTCAGTGCTCGGGACTGAAGAGGTTTTTGTGTGTTTGCAGGGACCAATTTCCACCTCAACGCAGCCCAGACAGGTCTGGTGCTGCTCTAAATAAACCAATTTTTAAAATCCTGAGTCTGCTGAGAAATGTGTTGGAGGAAAAGCAGGAGGGGGGGGAGTTTTTACAGCCACAAACCCACCTGGACCAGCATCCAAATAGGGAAAACCCAAAGCCAGGTCCTGACAAGCCCTGGGGAGACTCTGGCCAAGGATGAAGGGATAACAGGAGCCTGACCCGAGCTGGAGACACTCAGGAGCCTGGAAATCCTCCTGGACAGAGCCCCCAGGGCAGCAGGGATGGGCAAAGATTCACCTCCATCCGAAGTGGCAGAGGATGGCCAAGAGAGGGAAATGATCCCAGGGGATTGTCCAATCTCAGAAATCCACAGGGAACTTTAATGTCAGCAGGAAAGGATCTTAAAATTAGTGAAAATATGATGGTGACCCTCAAAGCGTTCCCTCAGCGGCAGGGAGACCCCCCCAGTACATTTGGGATGTCCCCTAGCACATTTTGTTCAGAATAAATGGATCTTTTGGGGCTTATCAGACACAAATCCTCCCCAAAACAGAGCAAACCTGAGAGAAAACAACCAACAGCTCCGAGACCCGAAGCCACACGCTCCTGAAGGTGTTTTACAGAACTGAACACCAGCCACAGCTAGAAAATTCAACAGCTTTTCAACCAGCCACATTTACATTTACATACACAGAACCCACTCAGCCTTTACATGTAAACCTTGTTGGGCACCTCCCGAAAAAACCCCGAAATACAACCAGAGATATTCAAGTACAAACGGTTGTGGTTGCACCAGAGAAAGAACCAAAGCAGAGGTTTTGTTGCCGTGTTTGATTTGCAGCCTCTGCTGGGAACAAAGGTTAAGAATTCAGAGCCTCAGGTGAAAACATTTGGATTTGCTGCTGACCTTCCAAAAGGATCTGGAAAATAACAACCCTGAGACCTTGTTTGTGTCCTGTCCTGGCTCTGGAGGGGCCCAGAGGGACATCAGGGACACCCCAGCCCCCCGGCACTGCTCTGGTCACTTTGGCTGTCCTGGAGATTCTCCTGGGGGGGATTTTCTCCCCTTCTTTCCTGGACAGCCACAGGCAGCATTTGGGGTGAGCCCAGGGCAGGCAGGAAAGGAGGGATCCCCGGATTTGGGGGGATTTGGGGTTTCCTCTGCAGGGAAGACCTCAAGGAGCACAGATCACCTGGCATTTTTGCCGGCACCAGGTTTGGAGGCAGCAGTGGCAGGAAGGAACCTTTCTGGCGTGAGGTGGAAAGAAAAGCCCACCGTGCTCAGAGCTGGCTGGGGTTTTGGGGTTCCTGCCCCTCCATTTTCTGTCTGCTGCCTCTGCTCTGGCAGCAGGACAAGGCTGTGAGCCGCCAGGATGGGGAAGGAGGATGCCCTGGGCATCCTGGCAGCCTCCAGAGCTGGCTGGGGGAAGCTCTGGCTGTTCCCAGGGATCCTCACAGGGACCAGCTGAGGGTTCTGGTGCAAAGGAACCCAACTAACCCAGGCACTTTTCGGGTTCTCCCTCCGAACCCCGCGTCCCCTCCACCCGAGGGAGCCTGACCCTTTTCGCCCCGGCATTTTCAGGGGGGCACAGCTGGATTTTTTGGGCGGCCTCCTGGGCACAGCTGCCCCTGCGGCCCCACTGGGGCTGCTCTGCCCGGGCCCCACGCCGGGGTTGGGGGCTGGCACTGAGCCCCGCAGCTGCCAGGCCGTGGAGGGCAGAGCCCGGGGCTCCTCCCTGCCCGTGCCGGGGGCTTCTCCTGCCGGGAGCAGCGCTCAGACCTGGAACACCTGCGGGGCCCGCCGGGGGCTGCCCGGCTCCTTCTCCTCCGCCTCCCACAGGTTGTCGTAGCTCAGGTCGCTCTGGAAGCTCTGCAGCTCCGCGTAGTCGTGGTAGGACGTGGTGGAGTCCCGGCAGGGGCAGGAGCCGTCTGCCAGGCCGTAGGGGCCATCTGCAGGGAAACGGCTTGGGTTGTTACAAGTGTGTGTTTATAATTTTGAAATATATATTAAAATAATATTAATGTATTTTAGTTATATTTATATATTTTATATATTAAAGCATATTACATATACTATATTAATTATATCATTTATATATAATAAACTTACATAAGTTTATAACAACATTTAATATCTTAGTTTTACTATTTATTTTTAAAAGTTTTCTCTAGGGCCTGAATTAAAGTGTGGTGTTCTCTGAGGAGTCAGTGTCTTTGAACAGAGA